CACTAAAGTGAACTATTCAAGAAGTATTGTGGAGTAAGAGCTCCCAGTAGGTGAACACCTATCTTTTCACAGAATAGCTGCAACCAAAGATGAAGGAATAAACTTTCCACCCCAACAGGTAGAACACAGTTACCAGACATGGGTGTTAAAACAGAACTACAGCAACAATGATAATTACATGTAGAAGAAATGTGGTGACTTTAACCTTTGAAAATAATGGTGAAGTGATTCATTCCATGGTCATGATAGCTATTCTTGCAGAACAGTATGGTCACATTCATTCCTGAGGATCAGTCCAGCAAAAAGCACCAAAGCTAAAGAAAACTAAAGCTAATAATGTTTACAGTTATGTCAGGATAGTCAAAATACTACAGCCTATGTTCCTTCACTGACAAATTGTTACCTAATCACTAATAGAAAAAGTCATGGCATACACAGCAAAAAAATGCTATGATAGGAGCCTAGATTAGTTAATTGTTTGGATTCATTATTTAAACCCTATTAACAAATGTACAATGAAACATAGAATCACTTTGGCTACAAATTCACATCTCCTGGACAGATATCGAAGTGATTTTATTGGATATTTGTTGCTATTTTTATTTGGCATTATGTTTAGGTTTCACTTGCAGTAATTGGGAAGCAGAATGAAGCTTCAACATAAATGTTCAATTAGTTTTATTTAAGCATTAAAAGAATTTCCTGGAATATACTTTCATTTGACCCAGATTTTATATACATTTGCCATTATCTTTTCCTTTCTTTATCTATCCTTCAAATCATATTTCAAGTAAAATGTTTATAAAACCTCATTTTGTTCTGCTAACCCTGCAAACTAAATATGTTTCATTTATTTTTAAATTAAGTGAAAATTAGCCAGGTGTGATAGATAAGTTTTCTATACACAGGTCTAAATATTGACAAAAGGAAGCGTGTCACTGGAAAAATCATCAGTCTAGCAATTATCACGTTAGCATGTTAAGTGGAAAAAGATGTGAAACTTCCAAATGTGTCAATACAGATTATTTCATTTCCACCAGCTATCAGCTATACTGTGAACATCAGTTCCTTAGTGTCTATTCAGCAACAAGTCAGTTTTTGCAAGCAAGTATCTTAATGTGACATGAAGAATTGTCAAATCTCTGGCAAAATTATGCACATCCCCTTCAGAAATGGTCTGCCAAGCAAATATTAGACATTTCTAGAAGGACAGACAGTACCAGGATAGAGCCAAAGGCCAGGAACTGGAACAACCAGTCAGCAAGTCTTTCTCTCAGACATGGCAATGATTTTCAGGATCTAATGTGAGTGGACAGGGAACAGAGGAGATGGTCACCAATTTTTTCCACTGCTGCTGTCCATCAAAAAATGTTCCAAGAAGTTAAATTAAGGGGCATTGATTAATGAGCAGCAGGAAAGCAAGAAAGATAGAATAATGATCCTTGTAGCAGAACAGAGTGCATTTAAAACACGTATTTTTCTTTACAATGTAAATAATTAACTTCAAGAGCCCTGAGTAGACTACTGCCTAAACCAGTGTTTAACTCTTTCTCTTGTCAATAATAGCAGTGATAATTTCATAGCAGCTTATGACAACTACAGCTCACAGAATACATTATTTTGGAGGGAGAACTTAGAGACTCAACCCAGTGAGAAATAACAGCATGAGAAAAGGACATTTGAGATGAATAATACTTTCTTGCAAGAATCCTGCAATATTGCAAGATGTTGGATCTCGATCAACAAACCTATCTCAATTTTGGAGAGGTCTTGGAGAGGTCCCAGCTGACTGGAAGCTGGCAAATGTTACCCCAATTTTCAAGAAGGGCAAAAAGGAGGAGCCCAGAAACTTCAGGCTTGTCAGTCTCACTTCAGTGTCTGGTAAAGTTATGGAAAAATTATTCTGTAGCCATTGAAAAACACTTGAAAGACAAAACAGTCACTGGTCACAGCCAGTACAGCTTCATAAGAAGAAGGTCATGTTCATCAAACCTGATTTCCTTTTATGACAAGGTGACCCACATAGTTGATTGGGGAAAGTCAGTTGAAGTAATCATTTTGGATGCTTTCAGTAAAGCCTTCTATACTGTCGATACAAGATACTTCTGGACAAAATATACAGCTCACAGCTAGAAAAACACATCATGGGATGGGTGAGCAACTGGCTCACAAGTCAGGCACAAAGTGTGATGGTGAATGGAGTGACATCAGACTGGGGACCTGTCACTAGTGGGGTTCTGCAGGGTTCCATCCTCATCCCTGTGCTCTTCAGCATCTTCATAAGTGACTTGGATGCAGGACTGGACGGGATACAAAGTCTGCCACTAATACAAAACTGGGAGGGGCTGTTGAACTCCCCTGAAGGCAGGGAGGCCGTGCAGAGAGACCTCAACAAATGACAGGGATGGGCAATCACCAATCACATGAAGTTCAGCAAGAGAAAGTGCTGGATTTTTCACCTGGGACAGGGTAATCCTGGCTGTACAAACAGACTGGGGAATGAAATGCTGGAGAGCAACGCCATGGAAAGAGATCTGGAGGGTCCTGGTCAATGGCCAGTTCAATCTGAGCCAGCAGTGCCCTGGCAGCCAGGAGGGCCAACCCTGTCCTGGGGTGCATCAGGCACAGCATGGCCAGCCGGGCAAGGGAGGGGATTGTCCCCTCTGCTCTGAGCTGGGGTAGCCTCACCTTGAATCCTTAGGGCAGTTTTGGGTGCCACAATATAAAAAAGACATTAAGCTGTTAGACAGTGTCCAAAGTGGGGCTATAAAGGTGGTGAAGGGCCTGGAGGAGAAGCCTTAGGAGGAGTGGCTGAGCTCCCTTGGTCTGTTCAGCCTGGAGGAGACTGAGGGGAGACCTCACTGCAGTTCCAGCTCCCTGTGAGGGGCAGAGGAGGGGCAGGCACTGATCTCTGCTCTGTGGTGACAGGGACAGGACCCAAAAGAATGGCCCGAACCTGAGTCAGGGAAGGTTTGGGTGGGATATCAGGAAAAGGTTTTTCTCCCAGAGGGTGGTTGGGCACTGGAACAGCTCCCCAGGGCAGTGGTCACAGCACCAGCCTGGCAGAGCTCAAGAAGTGTTCAGACAATGCCGTCAGGCACAAGGTGTGACTCTTGGGGCTGTCCTGTGCAGGAATAAGAGTTGGATTTGATGATCCTTGTAGGACCCTTCAAACTCGGCATATTCTGGGATTCTGTGATCTCATGCAATCTAAGAATTTTTAATGCAATTTTTAAAAATTACTTTTAGAAAGCCAGTGTTACACTGATGTATGCTGAAAACACCAGATATTCTTGGTAATGATTAATGCAAAAATTATTAATATAAGGTACGCAGAACAGACAGTGCTTCGAACACAGTCTGGGGACATCTAGAGAGAGAACACCAATTTCAGTGACATTGGGCCTGACCATTACTGAATGACTCCAAGCCACAGGTTCAATTTGTATGGTTTTGTAAAGAGCCACAATACACCACTGTTATTTCCTCGTTGAATTATGTCCCTCTGCAAACTCTCAAGGACATCTTCTAGAATATATGTGGGCAAGATAGAATTTGTGCTACAGTTTAATCACAGAAATTTGGCTACTGAAGTGCTGATCTTGCTTATAACCACATGCATTGTACCATGGTCTAACAGATCTTTTTAGGTGAAGAACAACAATATAGTCTTAATTTTATTTATATTGCTTTTTCCTCTGAAAAAGCAATATAATTCCTTATTCTAAATTTTAAGCATCTTTTGCATTAGAAGTGCATTATGCAGACTGCTGGTGTGATAGTCCAAGCATTATTCAAAGTTTAAAACTATTTTTCCAAGGAAATAAATCTGCATTTTCTACGTTTTAATAAGCATTAACATTTTATGAAGATCTGCAACCTTCCCATCTATTTCCTTCAAAAATTTACTAATCTTTGACTTCTAAAAATTCTCAAATACATAAAACAGTGACAGATTACTTTCATACAAATATCATCATTTTTATGTAAAATGCCTCAATGAATGAATAGGTTTTTCCTAATTTTTATTGCAAACAGTTTATATGGTATTAAATTTAAGGTATTGCACTCATCCCATTCTTCTCTTTGCAAATATCCTCGGGAGTCCATGACTCAAAATCTCATTTAGTATTGATTTTAAGATAAAATTTCAGTAGCTAAGTAGAAAGATATTTTAGTATTTCCTTTCTATTTTTTTTTTTACTCTCCCTTGGTGCTCAGCATCAAGCAAGATTTGGCCCCAAGTTGTGGAGATTTTAGGCAATAGCTTCCCCATGCTTAAATTTTAAAAGTAGTTGCCATAGCAACTGCCAGACACAGCATATGGTGTGTCTGTTACCTCCAAGATAACAGAGCAAGTTCTAAAGAATTTTCTTTACAATATGTTATGAACCTTTGTACTTTTTACAATTTTTCAGAGTGCAGTATAAGGTACTGTTGTTCCCTGACATTCTCTTCAAGTTGAATGCTCATTTTGTAATTCTCTCTTTCATATTAGGGAAACATTTCCCTCTCTCACTTGTATTTTTATTCACTCAATATTCAGCAAAACAAGAAAGAATAAGGTGGGGAAAAGGAGACATTTTTCAAGTTTTATCTAAAGATTCTACTTAGTTTTGCTATAGTGTTCCCTTTCCTTCACAGTGACAATCCAAAAGAAAAAATACAGAACAAGACGGAAATCTTGTTTAAAATTCTCTGCTATATGGGTGCTAGGCATGCAGAAATTTTGCAGAACTCTATACAGCCTTCAACCCTTTGACTTCCATATCTGTCCAGCTTCTCTTCTCAAATGAAGAATTAATATCTGTGCAAAGTGGCCTCAAACAAGAGGAACTCAGAAACACACTTATGACCTCTTGTTTGGTAGGTAGTACATATCCCTTGTATAGCAAAGGCTTATGTCCAGAACACTTCCCAAAATGGTTTTTCCCTGCTGTGTGTAGCTCCTAAAAAGAAAAACCACTAGAGCAGCTTGTGGGTGGAATGACACTACCTACCTTCCTCCACACACCGAGAAGATGCCTCTGTCCAGCAGAGCTCACAGAAGTTCAGCCTTTCAATGCTTGTCTTGCTTTGCAGAATGACATTCAGATGTGAGAAATAAGGCTTATAGGCCTTTATTCCTCCTTCTGCACCTCTGTGGTTGTATAGGCTGAGACAGGATTAAAAGAATAGTTACTAGGATACATAATAATGTTCTGCTCTGTAATTTTCTGTCCCCCGAGCCCTTCACTCTGACAACTTTCTGCAATTCAGGCACCTTCTGCAAAAATCTTCTAAAAAATTAAAAAATAAAACTGCACCAAAACAGGATGTAGGAGCACACATTTAATTCTCCCCCTAAGGAAAAGCTAAGAAAGGGAATGAACTATCCATTATACACTTAGCTTAATGCACAACTACAAGATGGTGACACTGCTCTGATGAAGACACAAGATAGTGTGACAACAGAGTAAAATATTTTAAAGGGAATTTTGCATGCTTGTGGGGTTTTTTTTTCCCCTTTATTTACTCCTCTTTTACCATGGTTAATTCTCAAGGAAGGGGTAGTCATCCAGTAATTGGAACTGCATGTTGTTACTTTCAAGAAATACTGATCATATTGGTCAAATGTCTTGCAAAGAAACACTTTTATTTATTTAACAAGTTTCATGGTTCATTATAGCAATTATTAGTGTAGATGTATTTTTTTAAAATCCTCTTTTGCTGCCTGGTCAAGGAGAGAAAGACACCAAAGAGCATAGCAGCAGGTACTATTTCTGGACATTAGCTTTCAGTGTAGCTGAATTTCAGCAAAGGCTGAATGATTCTACTGTGGAAAAAAAAGAAAAGAAGACATTTTTGCTGCTAAAAAGAGACTAGTGGCAGCATTTTTTTTTCCCTAGTAATAGCAGTTGAAATTAACTAATAACCATAGTTACAGGAAAAGCAATGGTAGGAACTTCAGGTTTTAGCTGCTAAATGGCATGTAACAGAGAAGGAAGGTCATGTGTATTTCACCTCATCTTGGTCATACATTATCAATTTATTAGTCTGGAGCATTTAGGAAAAGAAAATTACTCCTCATGTCCTGACGGATAGAAGGATGGTGAGAAAATGTGATAAATATGTTTAATTAAGTTTTTAATATTGTATTTATTATAGATAATGTAAAAATCATGATTAAATGAAAATTCTATAATGTAGGAAGACATAGTTGTCACCCACCATGCCCCACTTTTATTTGTGCTGTAGGCAATATCAGAGTACATAGGTAGAATATTGGTTAAATGCCATCTTTGCTTTGAATTTCAGTTTCATAGGTTCTTATGGCTTACTTTTCCTTGCCAGCTCATGGATGGCATTATTTGTTGCATTAGACATACCTTTGTTATTAAGGTCTCCACAAGTTCCTAAAGGAATAGTTAATGTCTGATTCACTTCCTTCTTCTGAAACCACTTCCTTCCACTTAATCCTGAATTTTCCTAGTTATGCTCTCAACAACCAGCCATCTCCATGGGCACTGGTGGTGTGTACCAGCCAGCCACCAGGCCACACACTACAAAAAGTGGCTGAAAGAGGTGGGTTCGTTCAGTCCTACAAAGAATAAGCAAAGGTGATATCTCAATGATCTTCCTGCTGTCTTTGACTGCTTCTAGGATGGTCTGGAAGAATTGAGCCCTTCTATGGGGCACAATAACAGCATTGGTAGCATGAATTGCAGCATGGGAAATTTCAGCTGGATTGCCGGAAAAATGCTTTCATCATGGTCAAACAGTGGAACAGGCTTCCCAGAGAAGTTGTGGCATCACCACCACCCAAAACTCAATCAGGCAAGGCACTGAATAACCTAGTTAAGTTGATCCTGCTTTGAGTGGAGCCAATGACCTCAAAACTTCTCTTCCAACCACCTATGTGGTGATTCTATTCAGTTAAGGAAAGCTCAGCAGGCAGTGTTTACCACCAAAAAAACTATTCTAATTGAAAATCTGAGTATGCCTGACAATTATAAGTGAAAGGGTGTGGTTTATCCAAAGTAGTTTGTGGCACAGAAGGAGAGGTTGGTATTTTTCACTTTTGAATGGCTTTTTTCTTTATTACCACAGAGTATGTTGAATTTAGTCAAGTTACTCATGGTGAAAACACAAGTAGCAGAGCATCAACTCCTAAACATGAATGCACCAAAAATAAAATATCTGATAAGTTTACTTTCAGCATAGATTATTCTATTTTAGGAAACACAGAACCCAATAAGATACATGCAAAATCCCTCTGTAATTAATTATAAGTGAAGTATATCACTACAGTGTACTAGTGACTCCATATAAACATATTTTCCTCCTGAATGGTTATAAACAGGCACACCATAACCTCATTTTTAGCTTTTTTTTCACATTATAAATTCATTTTTCTCTTTGCAAAATGTCACTTTCTTTCCAGCAGGTTAATCCCAGGAGGTCTGGTAACTACAATTACTCCATTTAAATATTCCACAGATCTGTCAAGACTCAAAAGAATTCTGTAGTGTCAGTTTAAATATAAATATATATAATTCTAGTTAATAATCATCACTTCAAGTCTGTTATGAAAACTGTATTACTCATTCGGAGTGTGTGTGATGTTGTGTATGTATGCAGCATTTGTTGCAGCATTTTCATTGATTTAATTGTTGAAAAACCGACCATACTAATGGCAACACATCAGTGACCTCATGCAGAAAACAGCATTGCTTTTAACAAGGTTAACTGGTCTACAAGTGTCTTTTTCCTAATTACTTAGGAAAAAACACCATAAATTTTCTAGCTTTTCATATAGAGTATATATTATTGTAAAGACAAGTACCAGAAAAACATATTTGATGCTTTTAATTTCTGTAACATTTCCATCTGAAGAAAATACTTTCATTTACCAGTTACCAGAACTGTTTTTTTTCTTGATGGAGAGTACAGAGGTTTGAAGAAGTTGACAATTTTCTGCTACCTTATAAATAGGCTGAAACACTACACAGTTAAAAGAAAATCTTCTAAATGGCTTCAAAACAAAAAAATGTTATGTTGATTGAAAACAGAAAACAGTATATTTTCTTTAAGTCTAATGTGTTCATTGTCTCTTTATTAGTAAATGAAGTAAATAAATTAGTAAATTAGTAAATAAATTAGTAAATATCCTGCTAGATAAGTATCCCTTCTTATTCCTTGCAATACGGGCAGAAATGTAGCTCTTTTTGCATCAAAAGTTTCAGAATAGCAGAATGAATATGCCCCTATGCCCCGCAAACTAATACCAATAAATAGCATTTTGAAGCTTTTAATCACCATGACAACCCACCTCAAGCTCTTCAATAAAATCACTTCAATAAAAATCATACTGACTTATGCACACCTACCATGTGTTCATAAATATCACCAGTGTTGTGCATCTTAAAAACATAAAATGCCATTGATGTCTTTCTCTTGGAAAACTCATCAATCAGCATTCCAGCTAAAACTTCATTTGTATCCTTCTATTTATATTAAGTGTTGAGTAAACAGTTCAGTTAAATAAAAAGACAAAGAGATACATACAAAATATGTCTCAAACATATAAGGACATTCCTCGAGTTTGACAATCATTGGGAAAAATACCTGATATATAAATAAAGTGGAGGAATTACTTCAGATACCTACAAAACAGAATCAGAATTCATATGGCATAACTCTTCAAAGTACCCTTTCTGTCTCAGAAAGGAAATGGTTGACTTAAATATTATAAGCAGAGTATTCACTAAGCTGTGTGAGTAAGGATATAATTATTGATATGAGTCACATTCTGATGTAAATGCTACTTATGCTAAATCTGGAAAAAACATGAACAATGTCCAAAAAACTGCCCCAAGACCAAAATTCAATTCAAGCCACTCTGGGAAATGGGACATTACAGGCATCTACCTATGTAAAGAAAACAGATACTCACTGCCATTTACCCAGAACTCACAAAATTCACCAATTACAGTCCATTATCTTCCATATATTTCGAACCCATGGTGCCCTGGACCAGCCATGCTGACATAGCTGTAACATACCTGCTGGGGGGAACTCAGTATTGTCACAAACCAAAGAAGAATGTATGCTAAGGCCTGCAGGCAGGCCTGCCACCCTTGTCTATGCATAGCCTGAATAGCTCCCCATATAGCTGTCACAGCCTTGCCACCTGCCCCAGCCCTCTGGAGCCTCTGCTCCAGCACATTTTGCCAGCATTTCCACATAATCTGTTTTAACAATCTCTCATATCTATAGCAAACCCAACCACATAGACTTTATTAGTCATGGTAAACTGAACATATTTCAAGTACAATATGTATTTGTTAAGCCATTTTGCAAGGTAATAGCTGACAAACTGGGCAGATTTCTTTTTCCTCACTTCTCTCAGGGGGTGTCAAAGGGTAGCCTACCATCAGTATCAATTTTGGAAAAAGCACTTTTCTACACGCACACACACACCAAAAGAAAGAACCAACAAAAAAAGTCATCAGACATCAGCCTTCTCTGTGACACTCCAGGCCATCCCTCACTTTGTCATGAGTTTGCTGACCACAAGACATTTTATCCCAATTTGTATGATCAGTCACAGCAGATGACATGAAGCACATCTGAACCTCTGTGCCAGTCGGGAAGCACGGCTGATAAACTCAGCTGAGATATCTCTGAAATACCACCAGGTAATTTTTGGGATAGAACAAAAATTCTTAGCATTCTCCTCTTCTCTGATCCCTTGTATCATGCCTGCACTGAATTCTACTACAGAACAATACCATACATCCATTTATAGAGGAACAAAGGCTACTTCAGCATACTTACATTTGCATGGTATTGCACAGGGCCTGAAGGGCTTAGGATGGACTCAGGGCATGTTGAAGACCTATGGCATACATGTGAATGGCTCGGTCCCTAGAAGAGTCTCAGAAAGCATCTTGGATGGAGGCTGGTTGATTCCTGTATTTTGCTAAAAGACACAGAACTGTGCTTCTTCAGAAAACATGAGGGAGCAGGGCAGTAGGGGCTCTTTGCACTCCTGGTGTAACCTATCCTGCACTATCTGGCTGCTCTGCAGACATCCTCCAGAGGTAATCTATCAGATATGTTAACTCTGCTATATTCATTTTAAGATTAGCTGTGAACTCTATAATAAAAGCACCAGTTTTAATATCAGCACAAAATTCTGCTTTTGTTCTACATGTCCATCCAAAAATAAAAGCTTCCTAAAAGCGAGTACATCCTATCATGTATCAATACTAACAGAGCTGTCTGTCCCAAAAACCCCCAATTTTTCCACCACTCTTCCTATGACTCTATCATAGTCAAGACATACTGTGCATTCTAAGATGGCATTGCATTATACTATAAAATAAAGGTAACTTTCTTGAGTTTCATAGGTAAGTGCCAAAATACATTTATTTTCAGATTTCAGTACTTGAAGTCTGCAGTCCATTTCACTGCAAGTCAACAAAATTAGTCTGTCAAGATATATTCTTCAAAATTTGTTGCTCTGCTCTGTAACTTCTTCATATAGTATTTTCCCTGCTCAAGAGACTGCAAAATGAGACAGAAACTTGTAAGAGTTTACAAGACTAAATGGAATTTAGTTACTACAAAAAGATATCTTGAAATTCTTCCTCTTCTAGCCTTTGCTCACTTATGGCTGGTTGCATCACTTCAAAGTTTTCACTATCCTTCCATTACAATGACAATAAAAGTTACCAAAAAGCAATGTATAATACATATAATCACCTTTTGTGTATGTTGAATGTCACATGCAGCTTCAAAATACTAATGCTGAGTTGTACTATCTGTCTAGATTGAATATCTAAATTTTATATGTAAGAATTTTCCTGAAATGCTTTATTTCATAAGCCAGTGCTGATGTGCCAAAAGGGCTCAACTACATTATTTAGGGACTCATTACTCAAACACAACCAAAGGTAAGAGTTATGTTTTACCTGTAGACAGCCCAAGACTGGAGAGCTAGAGCTACCTCTAGAGCATGAATCTTTTTAGAGCATAAACCCATAGAGATTAACCTTATTGTTTTGTCACTATTTCTTTAAAGCACTGTTAAAAGAAAATTAAAAAGACAGCAAGCTGGACTTCTCATGGCACCTGAATATATAGCTGAGAGTAGATTAAGAAAGTCACAAGTTCAGAGACATTAACTCTCATTAATCATAGTTATTTTTTACTGTATAGCAATCACATTGGTAACAACTTAATTTTAGATTTAAAAACTTACACTTTTTCACAAAAAACTTTAAAGGAAATCTAATATAAGGACCACAGGTTTTACATGGATTCAGCAGAACTTTTGAGTTGTCAAGACTCAATCCAGGCTGTTGGAAGACTTAGCCAGGCAACTCATAGAAAAAATAACCACCTTCTTCCTACTGAATTAGTTTAAGTTTTAAGCCAATACTTCACTTTTTAAAAAAATCTGTTCATTTTATAACTACTGCATCACACAGTTGATTCTCAAGTCAAAAATACCACTTGTCTAGAATCCTAATGACATTTACAGGGCCTACAATTAAATAAACAAAAGATACTTTACCATCTCTCAGTGTCATTTCCTTGTAAAAATTACATACTGCACTTCTACAGAAATGTATCTTTTCTTCTGTTTAGTTTATTAGCTACAGAGAAGAAGTTTTAGGTATCTTTTTATGTCTTTTAGTGCTAGTCTCTAAACTATATGCAAGTACTTTCAATGAAAAGAGAAAAAACTATAGTGGGAATAGCTTTATTGTCATATTTTTACTTGTGGGTGTGAGAAGTGATTTAACTTACAGGTACTGATTATTTAATTGTATTGATATAGAGCATAGAGCCTACCATGACTAGTGAATCATTCAGACTGACAAGAGGAGGTGTAAAAACTTATTGCTTCTATTCTGCCACATCCTTCCAGCTTTACAAAAGATAAAGCTTTATTCACAAGTGGGGGTTAGTAAGCCATTAAAATTCTTGATAACAGCTATGAATGCGTAAAACAAACACGTCAAATCCATAGAGTATAATTCTGTAATTGATTGGATAATGATTTTTCCAAGAGATGACTATACCATCAGATGCACAATATAGCTGACTCCAAGCCTACATATGGTTTAAAAATAATCTTTGTAAACTTTACAAAATTAAGCTAGTTTGGTGTGTTCAATTTAATTTGTCAGTGTGTGACCTTTATTCAACACAGTTTTACAAAAAAACTTAATTGTTTAGATGTGAAAAGATACCACAAACTATTAGTCTTTGCTACATTGTATGAAAGAAATTGTACTTTGTATATTTAATCCTATAGCCCTGAAGCAATAGTTGATTTAAAGAACAT